ACTAGGTCCAGATAAGAGAGGATGCAGACTCTGAGCATTGCTGGGCACCTGGAGGACAGAGTGGACCTTAGACAAGGACCTGGGTGTTCAGCAACCAAATCCTCCATGTTTTCCTGGGCAAACCCAATGTCAAATATTTCATATCCTTCCTCCTTACAAATCACCGAACCATCCTAGAAATGGCCACTTGCACTTACAACACCTCCTGACAGCCTTTTTAAGCCAGCTGCAGCACAAGGACCCATTGTCAGACCATGGCTCCTGACTGTTGCCTGGGCAATTAGGGTCTCTGTGCCTACGGGCCAGGAAGAACTGATGCTATTGTGCCTTCCTCTCAGCTAACGGAGATGATCTCAACGTCACAGTAAGGACATGTTTCTCTTAGCTCTCTTCTGTGTGGCTGACTGTCTGGATGGTGCAGGTGATGGCAGGATGCTCACATTTTACTGGCAGCTTAAAAGGGGGCAACCTCAAGCCAGAGGGCAACGGGCAAACTCCCTAAGGAGTCACTCCCTGACAGGCACAATTTGTTTTTTTTTTTTTTTTTTGAGGAAGATTAGCCCTGAGCTAACATCTGCTGCCAATCCTCCTCTCTTTTTCTGCTGAGGAAGACTGGCCCTGAGCTAACATCCATGCCCATCTTCCTCTACTTTATATGTGGGACGCCTACCACATCATGGCTTGCCAAGTGGTGCCATGTCCGCACCCGGGATCCGAACCAGAGAACCCCAGGCCGCTGAAGCAGAAAGTGCGAACTTAACCACTGCGCCACCGGGCCGGCCCAAGACGGGCACAATTTTAGGGAGTCGTGGTGTAGGTGAATCCTGTTAGCCACACGGGAGCAGGCACATCTTTGTGCAGGAGGTACCAGTAAGCTTTTGAGAACAAGAGGGTGGTGTACTTTGGGCTTTTAGTGCTCAAAGCAATTTAGTTCCCCGAGAACTGTACTGACTACCTGAACAGTGCTGAGCACTGTGACTGAGGTCGATGCCACCTCTGTCCCACTGCTTTCCTGGGATCTTGTCCACTGTCTTTTGTGTCAACACACTTGTAGGTGGTTCTTATGATGTACCTGGCTCTGTGGAAAGAAATGGAATAAAAGTCTCTGTTCTCAACAAGTTCACGGTCCAGTGGGGAGAGAGAAAAACTCACAATACAGTGAGCTGGGTGCTGTATCGGGAGGTACGTGGAAGTCTGATGGGGAAGACAGTAACTATGCCTTTCATGGTATTAATATAAATATCGACAATGCTGTAGGGGAGATGTGGAAGGGGTTTGAAAGAGATATTCACTAGCAGAAAAGAGGCTGGGGAGCTTCCCCAGATGAGGGCAGTGCATCAGAGAGCACGGAGTGTTTGGGAAGGGGCAATAGCTTGTCGGCACCCAGGGGAGAGGAGAGAGACAAGCCTATAATGTTGCGTTGTGGGGTGGGTGGGGGCGGGTAGGCTGGCCCTCTTTGGCTGTGTGAGCTGTGCTCTGGAGCTGGACCATGTTCTGTAGCTGGAGGGCAGTCACTGAAGGCACAGGTGACTCTGGCAGTGCTAACAGCCACTGGAGGAGGGAGCAGGGCAAGCTCTCCAGAGTCTCTGGATATAGTTTGCTCAAGAGATGAAGAGGAGGAAATTAGGGCAGTCAGAGTGGGGAGGGCAGGAAGCGGGAGAATTGAGAAATACTGTAAGCCAAAATCCTGAGGACTCAGGGAGTGAGGGGACCAAGAATGACTCCCAGGGATCAGGTGTCTGGGAGAATAAGAGAGGAAGAAGATCCAAAAACTAGCATCAGGTAAGCCAAGGGAATGAAAGGTCCCAAGGAGGGAGCAGTCCTCAGGGTCACACAGCCCATAGGGACATTTCTGAGGAGGCCAGACCCCAGAGGACTGAGGAGGAAATGGGAGGCAGTGGCTATAAACTGTTATATTAAGACGTCTGGCTGAGAATGGAAGGAAATATGTGGCCACGAAGTTCAGAGGAGACAAAAAATCAAGGAAGATTCTTTTTTCTTTTAAATTCCAGAGACCCGTGTGTGTGTGTGAGTGTGTGTGTATGTATGTGTGTGTGTAGGCTAAAGGGAAAGAGACGAACGTTGAAAATACAGAAGAGACAGAAGGCACTTGATGAAGGAAGGTTCCAGAAGAGCAGGGAGAGGAAGAGATAAAAAGTACAGGCACTACTGTTAGCCAGGTGTAGATAGAGGGTAAGGGTGGCAAGGGTGGGCACAAGGCAAAGTCCTCACACACTGTCAGGAGAGGCCAAATGTGGTGGGGCCCCAGGAAGCACCACACCGAGAAGTGTGAAATGCCAACTGGGTGCCACGCACTGTGCAAGGCTCTGGGAATATAGTAAAAAGTGAACCACACACCTGACCTTACCTTCTAAGTTGGGTCAGTGCCTTGAATTTGTCTCCCACCTTCCCTCCATCCCTCCCTGTCTGCCTTTCTCTAGGGCTGTCTCTGAGAAAGTCAACCCAACACACACAGCAACGGAAGCTGCAGACAGGGTAGTCCAGAAAAAAAAAAACCACTAGACTTCCGCAGGTGATCACTTTGCAGCATAAACTGATGTGGAAGTACACCTGAAACTTACATATTAAAAAAAAAGATGGAAAAAAAAGACAATCTAACCACTTACCCTGCCATCAGGAGCATCCCTCTTATGAATGACAAGGGTCTGCCCCACAGAGAAACTAGGCTTGTAAGTCAAGTGAAGGATAGTGACGTCTGCTAAGAAAGGTGGTATGACCTTAATAAGGCTGTGTGCTTGGTTAGTGGAAATATACGTATTCTCATTGTCATAGTCCTATCTTCTTAATACTGATGAATTGAGGAACCAGACTTAATTACGTAAAGGTCTGAGATAAGTGTTTCTTAAAGTAAATCCAAACTCTCTAGAAAGAGAAGACCTGACTAATGGTGGAATGGATGCTAACTATTCAAAGCTCTGTAGGGTTTTTTTGTGTGTGTGAGAGGAAGATTATTGATGAGCTAATATCTGTTGCCATCTTCCTCTATTTTGTGTGGAAACACCGCCACAATGTGGCTTGACGAGTGCTGCTAGGTCCGTGCCTGGGATCCAAACCTGTGAACCCCGGGCCACCAAAGCGGAGCATGCCAAGTTAAACACTATGCCACAGGGCTGGCCCCAGCTGTAGGTTTTTAAGCTCACGCTGCCAAAGTTACTTAGTTTAAGTCAATACTATGATTTTTTTTATAGCTATCATCAATAAAGCCAATAATCTAATAAAAACTGGTTAAATTGCATGACTAGAGCACCCACCATTGTGCCAGGAATTAACGTCATCTAGATATAGTGTTAAAAATTTTTTCTGTTCTGGGCTTTAGCAGAATCACCAGGAGGTGGGAAGGAAAGTACAGAGGATGTGCCAGCAACTTAATGTGCTCATCACCCACCCTGGCCATGCTCTTGAATCAATAAGATTTCTGTGAGCCCCGCTAGGAGCACAGAAGACATCAGCCCTCAGCAGGACAGAAGAGGAGGCAGATGCTTGCTGCCTCAGGCCAAAGGAAGCAGCACCCACTCCCCTGCCACCTCTCCAGTGGGAGGCAGCCCAAATCACTGAGCAGCTAACCACAGCCCACTTAGCCTTCTCCAAACACCTGAAGAGTCAGGGAGAAAAGTGGCCAGTGTCAGTACGTGGAGGGCGCGCCCCTGCCTCCCTCCTGCCTCCCTGTGCAGGAAATAAATGTTTATGGCTGCTGCAATGGGGCAATATGATCAAAAACATTAAACACAGCTTTCTAATCATAACCTGTGCTCTCCTAATGATAAGCTCTTACTCAAAGGACACAATAATAGATTGAAAAAAGTATCCGAGATAATACTAGCCACCACTACCGAAATGACCAAATTAAAAAGCTTACTTCCTCTTAATAACGTCAAAATTCCCATATTATGGAGAGAAGCTCACATTTTTATTGTTTGTTCTTTAACTAAAAATCCTGGAGTCATACGGCCATATAAAATATATATGTACAACCATTTACTAAAAATGGCCTTTCTGAATGGTCTAGCTCCTTAGAAGAGCATTTTAAAGCTATATAATAATTCATTTTCTCCTGCTATATTTTCATTTTAACTTACTCTATTATCTGAGTTGCCCCTCTAAGGCCCAAACTGGGACATTACAAATTGACAAATAGATCACTGAGCTTCTTCCCAAACTGAAATGGTCAGCAGACTCCAATGACCCCTCAGGGCCAGAGTTCAGATCCTCCCTCCCTCTCGTTTGGTTCCCTTGTAGACCTGAGTATGGGGAAAATTGGAATGAGAGGTGATCGGAAGGGAAAAAAATATTTTCAACATGCAGCGCTATTTAGCCAACCATTGTTCTAATCTTTGGCTAATCCCACGAATTTCCTGTCTTCAGAAAGGAGCACGTTACCTCAAAACGGTTTAGTTCAGTCCAAGCAGAGACCGCGATTTCTGCATTCGCACTCTCTCAGTTGGAACTGGATCTTTAGATGACCCGGACATAAGTTGCCAACACAAAACCCACGGGAGCGCTTCCATTCATTCTCTCCATTGTCTCAGCAAATGTTTTCTAAGCACCCACTACGTGAAGCCACAGTGCTTGCACTGGAAGGAGAGGTGGTCGAAAATTGTGAGATTTCTGATGCCAGATAGGGGCCCCATCTGGACCGGCACAAATTGGAGCGCCACGGATAGCGACGGCGTCCGGCCGCGTGGGTCCCCACAGCGCCAGCGCCCTGCCAAAAAGTGCATGAGAAAAAACTTTGCCCAGTTCATGCTGATGCGCCAAGCGCGCCCTGGGCAACTGCAACAGTTGGGCGCCAGAGCCGCATGTCGGGGGAAGGCAGCAACTCACCCTAACTTTTGAGCTCAGGACCAAACTTGGGGACTAGGTTAGAGAGAAGGGAACGGGACGCCTGGGACTGAGGAAGGACACGGAGGCGGATTTGGGAGTGAGAAGCAAAACGAGACGTCAGGGAACCGCCTGACCCCAGCAGGGGGCTTGGCGCTCACCTGCGTTCCGGAGCTTGCGGTTCCTGAGCACCGAGAGGATGACCAGGAGGTTGCCCACGATGTCCACCGCGGTGGTGACGATAAGCACGGCGGCCAGCGCGGGCGCCACCCAGGGAGGCCGGGGGGTGCCGGAGGGCCGCTCGCCGCCAGCCCCGGGCCAGCCCGGGCGCACTGCCCGCCCGCCGGGCTCGCAGCAGTTGGAGAAGGAGCTGTTCTCGGGCATCGCGGACCCTCCCGCGCAGCGCGCCGGCCGCCGCGCCCCACCCCGCTCGCCAACAAGTGCACAGTGCCCAGCCGAGCCGGGCGCTCCTGCTGCCCGCTACTCTACCCGGCGGGCTTAGGAGGAGGCCAGTGAGGAGGGACGTAAAGGAGATAATTAATTAAGCGTGGGCAGGGGGCGGAGAAAAATGTAGGAATGGGAGGAGGAGTTGAGGTGCAGGCGTTGCCTTAAAGGAGTGTGTCCCTCGGTGGCTCCTCGCTCCGGAGCAGCTGTGACTCAAGAGTCTAGCACGTGCCTGGCCCAGGTCAGACCTCAGTTCCTGAGGGCACCACCACACCTGAGACCCCAGATTTCACCCCAGAGAAGCTGTGCCCAGGAAGGGACACCCAGGTTTGTGGACTGGGTAAGGTGGTGGTGGTCGTGACCTGCTGATTCATTGTCAGAAGGACAAGGCTTGAGGGCCCCCGTGGGAGTGTGCAGCTCCAAAGAGACTATAACTTCCGGGGGGTGGGGACAGATCCCAGAGCAAAGCAGAGTAGAGGATTACACGCTCGGCAGCTGCAGGAGAAAGGCAAATCTGTGCTAGTTATTGAGCACTTGCTGTTTATCGTGGGAGGCCTTGGTGATGCCTCTGCCCTGTGCCCTTTATAAAGCCAAGACAATAATAGATTTATGAGCATCTATTTAAACTTGATAATACTTAAAAAGAGGTATGGTCAGTACTGGGGGTTATTATAATATGTTTTTTGGAGGGATTAGAACAAAAGAAGAGTGAGATATGATTATAAGAAAGAAGGAACTCAGATGCCCTTTATTAAAATGTTCGAGCACCTCCTCTGATAATAACAGTAGCTAACCTCTTTAGAGGGCTAATTTTATGCCAAGCCCTGTCCTATGCACTTTTCACATCGCTAGAATCACTAAAATCAAAATGACTGAAATCTTAAATTCGTTGAGGAGGTGAAGCACCTGGCACCCTCACACATTGCTTTTATGAGAATGCAGACTGGTACAGCCACTTTAAAGGGCTGTTTGGCAGTTTCTGATGCAGTTAAACATATACCATCCCATGACCAGAGATGAAATGAAAATGAAACATATGCCCTCCCAGACTTGTACAAGAATGTCTAGAGCAGCCTTATTTACTGTAACCCACACCTGGAAACAGCCCAAATGTCCATCAACGGATGAATGGGTAAACAAAGTGTGGTATTTATACAGTGGAATACTCTTCAGTAAAATAAAACTACTGATATACACAACAACATGAATTAATCTCAAAAATATTGTATTGAACAAAAGAAGCCAGATACAAAAGACTGCATACCATACAATTCCATTTGTATGATGTTCAAAAGCAGGAAAAATTAATCTATGCTGATAGAAATCAGAACAATTGTTGCCTATGAGGGTGAGGATTGACTGGAAACAGAGCACAAAATGAATTTCCGGGAAGTTATTTGTGTTGTGTTATTTTATGTAAATTATACTCTCCTACTTCCATCCTACCCAGCCCCCAAAAAGGAAGAATGCAGTGGAGGGGGAGACTGTAATGATGTGATGGTGCAGAAAGAGATGACAATTAAAGGTACGAACTCCTGGAGAGTGGAGCCCACCCAGAGCCCAAGGAAGGAATATTATTGTTAGGAGAGAAGCTTTCTCCCCTACAGTAGAAAGGAAGCGGAAGCGGAGTACAAATTCAGAAATGTTTCTAGGTTGGTGGGAGGAGATGAGAGTGTTCCTCTCCAGCTGCTATATTCTCAGACAGTTTGAGCCTATCTCATTAGCCAGGTTTCCAGGGGAGAGAGTGTGTGAGTTTTGAAGACAGGAGAGAGTATGAAATGTCATTGCAGAAAATGGAAACGTTAACTAGGAAAGCACAGCAGGTGTGTCAGGAGAGTGAGTGTCCCTGTGTGGCTTAAGACCGTGGCTAAAACTGAAGTGAGTCACTCTCTTTGGGTGAGTTGTTAATTGAGTCACTCTCTTTGGGTGAGTTGTTAATCAGCAACTTGGAGCTGCTCAGGACAGGCACAGAGAAGGCAGGGGAGCTTCTCCCAGGATTGGGATCTGCCCGTTAGGAGTAAATAACAGAAGGAAGCGCAAGGGCATGATGGGAAGATGGACCCCAGGATCTACATTAAATGGGAGATGATGAGAAAACAGAAGGGAGCTGATGGGCCATGAGGAAGGGGTGGGATCCAGGGATTGGAGGGATTGGATTCAAAGAATTGTGGTGGGTGAATCTGACAAACTAGGTTGTGGTATTGAGAGAGTGACTTGTTTGAAACTGAGATTTCTGAGGAGTGCAGATCCTGTTGATGTGTGGGCTCCGAGGGTGATTATGGGAGTGGGTTGCTGGAGGAAGATGAGGGGAAAGCTTATTGGAAATGAGAAGGTCAAGGAACTGAAGAGTCAGGGGGTGGATATTATGGTGGTGAGAGAAAAGGGGAACTATGAGTTGGGAGGCCAATGCCTGATGAATAAGGAGGAATGACCAGCTGGTTGGTAGAAGAGCTACAGGAGGAGGAGGAGAAGGAGACACAGGCAGATGGTGTGAGTGTCAAGGGGCATTTTCAGGAGGAAGGGACAGCCATACTTTCCCTGTTCTTACACATGCACTTGTAGCAGACACATAGTGGCACTTCTCTGGCTTGCAACAGCCCTCATAGCAACAGGTGAGTTGCATACAGTATAAGTTGCCCCAGTTCAGATACACCAATAATGTATATTTGGTCAATTGAGCTTGACACATAAGAATTTGCCCTGTGCTGCCCTGGGATGTTATCGTGCACGTATCCACAAGAGTGTATCCCAAGACTTCTGGACACTAGGGATTGGGGTGCTCTCTGCCTGAGAAGACAATGCTGTATCCTGGCACAGCTGGCCAAGCTGTGCCTTAAAAGGGCAGGGTAATGGTACAGCCATTTGGGAAGACAGTTTGGTGGTTTCTTTCAAAACAAAATATAATCTTACCTTACGATCCAGCAATCACGCTCCTTGGTATTTACCTGAAGGAGTCGAAAACTTCTATGTGTACAAAAACCTGCACACGGATGTTTATAGTAGTTTTATTCATAATTTCCAAAACGTAGATGCAAGCAAGATGTCTCTCAATAGGTGAGTGGATAAATGAACTGGTACATCCAGACAATGGAATATTGTTCAGCATTAAAAAGAAATAAGCTATCAAGCCGTGAAGAGACTTGGAGGAACCTGAAATGCACATTACTAAGTGAGAGAAGCCAATTTGAAAAGGCTACATACTGTATGATTCCAACTATATAACATTCTGGAAAAGGCAAAACTATGGAGACAGTAAAAAGATCAGCAGTTGCCAGGGGTTAGCAGAGAGGGAAGGATGAACAGGCAGAGACAGAGGATTTTTAGGGCAGTGAAACTCTTCTGTATGGTACTACAATGGTGGATACATGTCATTATGCATTTGTCCAAACCCACAGAATGTACAACACCAAGAGTGAACCCTAAAGTGAACTACGGACTTTGGGTGTTCATGATATGACAACGTAGGTTCATCAGTTGTAACTGATGCACCATTCTGGTGGAGGATGTTGGTAATGGAGGAGACTGTGCATGTCTGGGGGTAGAGGATGTGTGAGACTCTTTATACTTTCTACTCAATTTTGCTGTGAACCTAAAACTGCTCTAGAAAATAAAGTCTACTTAAAAGAGAGGGGCAGTGGAAGAAGGAGGGTTGCTGCCATGGAGGGCAAAAATGCCCCAGGGCTCATACATCCTCAGCCCAAACAGAATCCATCCCACTACCAAAAGACAAACTAAAGCAAGTCTAAAGAGGAAAGTCCCAATGGTGAGGAGGTTGGAGCAATGACATCTGAGGTAATGGAGAGGGGTGCCCAGATTTAAGAGAGAGGCTAGCACATCCAAGGAACTGAGAAGACATCCCAGAAGGAGTGAGCTCAGGGTGGAGAGGCTAGAAATTGGGCTGGAGGAGTGGTCAGGAACTGGTCCAGGTAAGCCACCAAGCCACTTGAAGACTCTGGACTTGACCCCAAGCTCAGTGGAAGCTGTGGAGGGGTTTGGCAGACAACTGTACCCTACCCCAGAGGCGTCTGCAGGCTTCCCTTCCAATGCAGAGAGGATGGCTATGGCATAAAGCAGTTCCCATGTTGACATCCAAGTGTAGAAGAGTGATGACAGCTTCCAGTGTTCCAGGCTGATGGCCTCTTCATATAAGGAGATTCTTTTCACAATAGGTGGAACCAATAAAGGCTGCCAACAGTGAAATGAAATTATATGGGAGGAAAAATCAAACCTAGAGAACGGAAGAGAGAGAGACAGAGGAGAGAGCTTCAGGATTCCCAGCTGGTTTCTAAACAAAATAAATCAACATTTTGAACACCTTCAGAGCGTCCTAGGGTTACAAAAATGAGCAGGACTGGTTTTCCTTACACCTACGCCCAAGGTCAAACTCAAATCAAAATATGCTCATAGAAGCTCAGCTCCCCACATTCCAGCAATAATGCCTTTCCCTCTGGATGGTTCTTGAAACCTTTTCCAAACCACTTTACATGGGCCATCTTGTGTCTCCCCTCAGCAGAGCTGTGAGGCCTGGGAGGCAGGTATGATTGGCCCAGCTGGAAAAGAAGGGAGCGGATTCTCAGAGATAAGTAACTTGCCAAGGTTGGTGGCTGATGAGTGGCCGAAATGAGTCTGTTACCCAGCTGTCTAACAGAATCCATTTGTTTTATTGAATGCATAATGGCTTTTATTCCCCCAGAATGAAATATACAAATAATATAATCAAAATTCATTTTAGTAATCGGCTTGCTACATGGCTGAAACAACCACTTGCCCGTTTAACAATCCCTAAGCAATAATAATAGCAGCCACAGCCAACATTGAGTGTGTACTATGTACTAGACTTGTGGATTCTTTCACTTAATCCTCACATCTCTAAGTGGTGGGTATGATTACTGTGTACTGTGAAGAAACGGATTCAGAGAGGTTAAAAAATCTGCCCACAGT